TCTATAGTCTAGTCTATAGTCTAGTCTCTAGTCTATAGTCTAGTGTATAGTCTAGTCTATAGTCTAGTCTATAGTCTAGTCTATAGTCTAGTCTATAGTCTAGTCTATAGTCTAGTCTATAGTCTAGTCTATAGTCTAGTCTATAGTCTAGTCTATAGTACTAGTCTATAGTCTAGTCTATAGTCTAGTCTATAGTCTAGTCTATAGTCTAGTCTATAGTCTAGTCTATAGTCTAGTCTATAGTCTAGTCTATAGTCTAGTCTATAGTCCTAGTCTATAGTCTAGTCTATAGTCTATTCTATAGTCTAGTCTATAGTCTAGTCTCATAGTCTAGTCTATAGTCTAGTCTATAGTCTAGTCTATTCTAGTCTATAGTCTAGTCTATAGTCTAGGTCTAAGTCTTGTCTATAGTCATAGTCTATAGTCTAGTCTATAGTCTAGTCTATAGTCTTAGTCATAGTCTTGTCTATGTCATATCTTAGTCTAGTCTAGAGTCATAGTCTATAGTCTAGGTCTATAGTCTAGTCTATAGTCTTAGTCTATAGTCATAGATCTATAGTCCTAGCCTAGTCGATATCCTAGTCTATAGTCTAGTCCTATAGTCTAGTCGATAGCGAGGCTATCTAGTCTATAGTCTAGTCTATAGTCTAGTCTATAGTCTAGTCCTATAGTCATCATAGTCTATCGTAGTCTAGTCTATAGTCTAGTCTATAGTCTAGTCTATAGTCTAGTCTATAGTCTAGTGCTATAGTCCTAGTCTATAGTCTAGTCTATAGTCTAGTCTATAGTCTAGTCTTATAGTCTAGTCTATAGTCTAGTCTATAGTCTAGTCTATAGTCTAGTCTATAGTCTAGTCTATAGTCTTGTCTATAGTCTAGTCTATAGTCTAGTCTATAGTCTAGTCTATAGTCTTGTCTATAGTCATATCTATAGTCTAGTCTATAGTCTTATCTATAGTCTAGTCTATAGTCTTGTCTATAGTCTAGTCTATAGTCTAGTCTATAGTCTAGTCTATAGTCTTGTCTATAGTCATATCTATAGTCTAGTCTATAGTCTTATCTATAGTCTAGTCTATAGTGTCTATAGTCTAGTCTATAGTCTTGTCTATAGTCTAGTCAATAGTCTAGTCAATAGTCTAGTCTATAGTCTAGTCTATAGTCTAGTCTATAGTCTAGTCTATAGTCTAGTCTATAGTCTAGTCTATAGTCTAGTCTATAGTCTTGTCTATAGTCTAGTCTATAGTCTAGTCTAGTCTTAGTCTTGTCTATAGTCATATCTATAGTCTAGTCTATAGTCTAGTCTATAGTCTAGTCTATAGTCTAGTCTATGGTCTAGTCTATAGTCTTGTCTATAGTCTAGTCTATAGTCTAGTCTATAGTCTTGTCTATAGTCATATCTATAGTCTAGTCTATAGTCTTATCTATAGTCTAGTCTATAGTCTTGTCTATAGTCTAGTCTATAGTCTTGTCTATAGTCTAGTCAATAGTCTAGTCAATAGTCTAGTCTATAGTCTAGTCTATAGTCTAGTCTATAGTCTAGTCTATAGTCTAGTCTATAGTCTAGTCTATAGTCTAGTCTATAGTCTAGTCTATAGTCTAGTCTATAGTCTAGTCTATAGTCTTGTCTATAGTCATATCTATAGTCTAGTCTATAGTCTTATCTATAGTCTTATCTATAGTCTAGTCTATAGTCTTGTCTATAGTCTAGTCTATAGTCTTGTCTATAGTCTAGTCAATAGTCTAGTCAATAGTCTAGTCTATAGTCTAGTCAATAGTCTAGTCTATAGCCTAGTCTATAGTCTAGTCTGGACTATCTGTCTGATCTATATTCGACCTTTTGCTTTACTAGAAAACCGTTAGTTTATTACTTTAAATATTTGAGTAACACCATTCTCTTGCCCTTCCTCACCTGTTCCTTCCAATATTTTACCCAAACCAATTTCTATGTATTTGTTTGTGTATTTGTATATGTTTTATAATAAGCGTCAGCCAACTGTGAACGTGTGAGTAGGTGGCAAAATCAACAATTAATTTATTAACAATTATGGTGTGAAATGTTTATAAAACAACAAGAACAAATACATAGTATTGTTGTAGTTTTTCCTAATTTATTCTAATACATATACATATTTTCATAATACTACATACAAACAAACTTTTTGCCATTTATACATATACAAATTGAAAATGTATAAACATTTCAAATTGTTTTTGTAATTTTCTTTGTTTTTTCATACATATCCATACATACATATTTTTTTTTTTTTCCTACACCGACATCTTGTTAATTTTTTTCTAAATTGAGTGATTTTTAGCTGGAGTATGGAAAGAAAAATTTATTATTTGTTATAGAAATGATTTTATTGCAGTAATTTTTCTTTAAAATTTTTTGCGTTTTTTTGAAATAAAGTAATTTGTTTTAACGGAAATTTCAATCTAATAATAGAGTCGTTTTTAATTAATAGAAACAAAAATTGATGGATGTTTTGCAGAATTCAATTAAATTTTATATTTTTGATTTGTAAAAAGTTTGTAATGAAATTCTTTTGTGAGTTATAGAAATCGGGAAGTATTTTAAGAGCTGTGGGTTCATAGGTTAATTATATGTGTTTTTACTATAAATTAAACTGAAAATAAACAACAAAATTTAAATAATGTCCCAATTTAATTTTGGATTATATAATGATAAATAACTAAAGAACTTTTGTCTTAACATTTTCTTTATTAAGGAAACAAACTAGAATAAACTATGAAATTTATTTATTATCTTATAAAACACTGAAATAAAAATAAAATTCACTAAAAAAACTTTGTATTCTTAAAAATTTTTATTCATAAAAGAAAAACTTTTTTGAAGGTTAAAGTGTTTTTCTTTATTTTTTGTTTGGTCTCTTATTTATTTGATTGTCGTTCGTTCCTCCTTAATGACAATAACTAAATATTTATGTGTCTTGTTTTTTATAAAAAAAAAAAAAAAAAAACAAATTTATATTTATGATTTTTTTTTATTGTTGCCATTTTGTTGTGGTTTCGTAAACCACTTGCCTCAAATATAGAGCAAAAATAAAAAAATCTGAAAAACATTTTGTGTGTAAAGAAAATTTTGGCAATTTGCCGGAAATACAAATTTTATTGCTACATTTATATAGGGAATATATAGGCAGACAGACAGACGTAGTCAAAATATTTCAAAGGGAAATGGTGCAAAAAATTAGAAAATAAAATTATTTAGGTCTTTTTATTCAAGGTTGTACACCTTGATCAAAATGTACAAATTTGAGTCAAATCGGAAAATGTTCAGTGTATTTTAAAGTCGAGACTAAAGCCTATTCTAAAGACGAGATAATAGTGTGTACTTCTGTCGAGACTTTTATCTATTCTATAGTCGAGGTTATGCACAAGAACTGAACTAGAACTGAACTAGAACTGAACTAGAACTGAACTAGAACTGAACTAGAACTGAACTAGAACTGAACTAGAACTGAACTAGAACTGAACTAGAACTGAACTAGAACTGAACTAGAACTGAACTAGAACTGAACTAGAACTGAACTAGAACTGAACTAGAACTGAACTAGAACTGAACTAGAACTGAACTAGAACTGAACTAGAACTGAACTAGAACTGAACTAGAACTGAACTAGAACTGAACTAGAACTGAACTAGAACTGAACTAGAACTGAATTAGAATTGAACTAGAACTGAACTAGAACTGAACTAGAACTGAACTAGAACTGAACTAGAACTGAACTAGAACTGAACTAGAACTGAACTAGAACTGAACTAGAACTGAACGAACTGAACTAGAACTTGAACTAGAACTGAACTAGAACTGAACTAGAACCTGAACTAGAACTGAACTAGAACTGACTAGAACTGAACTAGAACTAGAACTGAACTAGAACTAGAACTGAACTAGAACTGAACTAGAACTGAACTAGAATTGAACTAGAACTGAACTAGAACTGAACTAGAACTGAACTAGAACTGAACTAAAACTGAACTAAACTGAACTAGAACTGAACTAGAACTGAACTAGAACTGAACTATGAACTAAACTAGAACTAAACTGACTAGACTGAACTAGAACTGAACTAGAACTGAACTAGAACTGAATTAGAACTGAACTAGAACTGAACTAGAATTGAACTAGAACTGAACTAGAACTGAACTAGAATTGAACTAGAACTGAACTAGAACTGAACTAGAACTGAACTAGAACTGAACTAGAACTGATACTAGAACTGAACAGAACTGAACTAGAACTGAACTAGAACTGAACTGAACGAACTACTGAACTAGAAACTGAACTAGAAACTGAACTAGAACTGAACTAGAACTGAACTAGAACTGAACTAGAACTGAACTAGAACTGAACTAGAACTGAACTAGAATTGAACTAGAACTGAACTAGAACTGAACTAGAACTGAACTAGAACTGAACTAGAACTGAACTAGAACTGAACTAGAACTGAACTAGAACTGAACTAGAACTGAACTAGAACTGAACTAGAACTGAACTAGAACTGAACTAGAACTGAACTAGAACTGACTAGAACTGAACTAGAACTGACTAGAACTGAACTAGAACTGAACTAGAACTGAACTAGAACTGAACTAGAAATGACTAGAACTGAACTAGAACTGAACTAGAACTGAACTAGAACTGAACTAGAACTGAACTAGAACTGAACTAGAACTGAACTAGAACTAGAACTGAACTAGAACTGAGCTAAAACTGAACTAGAAGTGAATTAGAACTGAACTAGAACTATAGTCTGTTCTTTAATCTAGACCAATCTTGTCTAAATCCCTGAAAGTATGCTTCTTTTTACTAACCAACAATATTTTGTGATCCGCAAAAGCAAAACCATTATTACTCGATTAACTCTAAAAAACTGCAATAACAAAAAAACTGCAATAACAAAATCACTTTAACAAAACAAATACTACAACAACAACTTCATACAATTTCAATTTTTACAAAAAACTTTTGTATAGTTGTTCATGTGTCACCAAATGGCCATGAAGAAGGAAGCCAATGAAAAACAAAAGGCCGAGGAATTGCGAAGACAACAAGTGGGTGTAAGTAAGAAAAATCAAAAGAAACTAAATAAGAAACAAAGAAAAACAAATCAGAAAAACATCAACAATAAATTAAAATATATGAAAAAGAGAGTTGATCTACAATATAAAATAAGACTCTCTCTCTCACTCTCTCTGCCGCTACAAATGATAATGTTTTCGAAAAATGTTTATGATGATTTGTTGTAAACAGAAAATAAACGAAGATGTTGGTATGAAAATGTGTGTTCGTGTCAATGTTTAACATATTTAAACTGTAAAACTAAATTTTCTCTCTTTTCTCCCAACCCTCCCAATAACACCCACAAAATATTACCTTTGTTATGATCCTACCCCCCGACCTCTCATTATTTCCACAACTTTATTGTATTTGTAATAATAAAAAGAAAAATGTTTTGAATATTTTTATAAAATTGAAAATATACCACACACGTGTTGCATGGATGTTGTTTGTTTTTGTTGTATTTATTTTTATAAAATTACAAAAATAAACAAATATTTATAATTATAATGTACAAATAATAAACTTGTTCTTCTATATCATAAAAAAATAAATAATGCTTAATTTTTCAAAAACTAACAAATGCCTTTTATTTAAAAGCTCTTTAAAACTTTTAATAAATGCCTTCAAAAATCCAATAATTTTTTATTATAAATCTTTTGTTTGAATATAAAAGTTGTAAAATTTCTCTTACAGCTTGTTGTTCTTAACGCTGCAAACTTTTGGCTAAATATTGTCATCTATATATATATATTTTTTCTCTATATTGTAATATATTTATTTAAAAATTAGTCCCACAAATTTTTCACTAATCAATATCCTAAATATGGATCTTTTATTCGCTCTGTTACAGGTTGGTGTACCAATTATCTGGCTTTTGGGTGGTCCCGGTTGCGGCAAAGGTACCCAATGTGCCAAAATTGTGGAGAAATATGGTTTCGTCCATTTGAGTAGTGGTGATTTGTTGCGTGATGAGGTGAGTTGATTTGTATAGGAGAAAATTGGGGAAATTTTTTAATTTCTGAAAATTTTGTTTTCTTTTAGGTTGCTTCTGGTTCTGAAAAGGGCAAGGAATTGGCCGCCATCATGAAAGAGGGTAAATTGGTATCCAATGATGATGTTTTGGGTTTGCTCGAGAAGGCTATACGTGAGAGATTGAGCGGAGCTAAGGGTTTCTTGATCGATGGGTAAGTTTTTTGGTGATAATTACTTACTGTTTCTGTAATCTCAGTTCTAGTTCTGTTCTAGTTCAGTTCTAGTTCAGTTCAGTTCAGTTCTAGTTCAGTTCAGTTCAGTTCAGTTCTAGTTCAGTTCTAGTTCAGTTCTAGTTCAGTTCTAGCTCAGTCCTAGTTCAGTTCTAGTTCAGTTGTAGTTCAATTCTAGTTCAGTTGTAGTTCAGTTGTAGTTCAGTTCTAGTTCAGTTCTAGTTCAGTTCTAGTTCAGTTCTAGTTCAGTTCTAGTACAGTTCTAGTTCAGTTCTAGTTCAGTTCTAGTTCAGTTCTAGTTCAGTTCTAGTTCAGTTCTAGTTCAGTTCTAGTTCAGTTCTAGTTCAGTTCTAGTTCAGTTCTAGTTCAGTTCTAGTTCAGTTCTAGTTCAGTTCTAGTTCAGTTCTAGTTCAGTTCTAGTTCAGTTCTAGTTCAGTTCTAGTTCATTTCTAGTTCAGTTCTAGTTCAGTTCTAGTACAGTTAGTTCAGTTCGTAGAGTTCAGTTCTAGTTCAGTTCTAGTTCAGTTCTAGTTCAGTTCTAGTTCAGTTCTAGTTCAGTTCAGTTCAGTTCTAGTTCAGTTCTAGTTCAGTTCTAGTTCTTCTAGTTCAGTTCTAGTTCAGTTCTAGTTCAGTTCTAGTTCAGTTCTAGTTCAGTTCTAGTTCAGTTCTAGTTCAGTTCTAGTTCAGTTATAGTTCAGTTCTAGTTCAGTTCTAGTTCAGTTCTAGTTCAGTTCTAGTTCAGTTCTAGTTCAGTTCTAGTTCAGTTCTAGTTCAGTTCTAGTTCAGTTCTAGTTCAGTTCTAGTTCAGTTCTAGTTCAGTTCTAGTTCAGTTCTAGTTCAGTTCTAGTTCAGTTCTAGTTCAGTTCTAGTTCAGTTCTAGTTCAGTTCTAGTTCAGTTCTAGTTCAGTTCTAGTTCAGTTCTAGTTCAGTTCTAGTTTCTAGTTCAGTTGTAGTTCAGTTGCTAGTTCAGTTCTAGTTCAGTTCTAGTTCAGTTCTAGTTCAGTTCTAGTTCAGTTCTAGTTCAGTTCTAGTTCAGTTCTAGTTCAGTTCTAGTTCAGTTCTAGTTCAGTTCTAGTTCAGTTCTAGTTCAGTTCTAGTTCAGTTCTAGTTCAGTTCTAGATTTATAATTTTAACAATTACGTCTTTCGCTTCTTTCCAGTTATCCTCGTGAAAAGGATCAAGGTGTTGCCTTTGAAAAGAAAATCGCTCCCGCTGATTTAGTCATGTTCTTTGACTGTCAAGATGTAAGAAAAATCAAACAAAAAAATTAAAACAAAAACTCAACTAATTAAAAATATTTGTTCTTTTTATCCACAAAATAGGCCACTTTGGTTTCTCGTGTTATGGCCCGTGCTGCTGCCTCTACCGAGAAACGTGCCGATGATAACGAAGAAACCATTAAGACCCGTATTGCCACCTTCAGATCGAACACCAATGATATTTTGTCTCAATACACTGATAAAACTTTAGTGGTAAGATTTATAACTAAAAACTTAATTAAATTGATAATTTCTTCTAAACATATTTGTATTTTCATTTCCAGATCAATGCTGAACGCGGTGTCGATGAAATTTTCAATGATGTCACCTGTGCCTTGGACTGTTTGATACAAAAGAAAGCTGTTGCCGTTGCACAAGCATAAAACTGAAGTCTCGAATTAATTTAATTTATAACTATTTTTTGTTCTAGTTTTAAAACTCTCAAACCAAAGAAATTAAATAAAAAAAAAAAAACACAAATTTTCAAAATAGTAAATGAAAGAATTTAAATAAAAGTCACAAAGATTTGCCTCTAAATAAATCTGAATCTGTTTACAGATACAGAAAATTAACAACAATAACAAGTTGGAAACAAGCTTTAAATAAATACAAATTTTTAAATTATAATAAATTAATTAATAAATAAAATAAACAGCAATAGCAAAAAGTAAAAAGTAAAATTTACAATTTAAATTTAAAATAAACAAAAAACAAATATTAAACTAAAAATTATTTTAGTGGAAATTTATTAAATTTAAGAAATTTAATTAAATAAAAATTAAGATTTAAAAACAACAACAAGAACTCTCATTAAAAAAACAAACATTTCTTATATTAAAAACATATGAACATTTAACACATGGCTTTTTAAAATCCAAATACAATACAAAAAAGTTTAGACAAGTTGTCAGTGGTTTTGTTTAGATTTTCTGCTTTTTTTTTTAGATAATATAATTTTATTAAATTTCATATTTTTTTGCGCCAGTGTATTGTGTTTTAGTTAATAACAATTTAATTTAATAAATTGTTTCCGTTTTTAGCATTTTTTCCTCTCTTCCCCGTTAGTGTTATGGACTCCCGCATTGTTTTTAAACCAGAAAATTTATTATATATTTAGTTTAATTTATAGATATTTGGGGCATTTTGTTTTTGTTTTATTAATAAATATGTTTGTACAATTATATAAACGGCTGGTGGAGGTAATATTGTTCGCCACTACAGTGTTGGCGTTTGAAATAGCACTTATATGTATATGTTTACGAAATAGAAGAATCTTTTTACTAGTTTCATAATTAGTCTATAGTCCAATTCTAATTCAGTTCTAGTTCAATTCTAGTTCAGTTCTAGTTCAATTCTAGTTCAATTCTAGTTCAGTTCTAGTTCAGCTCTAGTTCAGTTTTAGTTCAGTTCTAGTTCAGATCTAGTTCAGATCTAGTTCAGTTCTAGTTCAGTTCTAATTCAGTTTTAGTTCAATTCTAGTTCAGTTCTAGTTCAGTTCTAGTTCAGTTCTAGTTCAGTTCTAGTTCAGTTCTAGTTCAGTTCTAGTTCAGTTCTAGTTCAGTTCTAGTTCAGTTTCAGTTCTAGTTCAGTTCTAGTTCAGTTCTAGTTCAGTTCTAGTTCAGTTCTAGTTCAGTTCTAGTTCAGCACTAGTTCAGTTTCAGTTCTAGTTCAGTTCTAGTTCAAATCTAGTTCAGATCTAGTTCAGATCTAGTTCTGTTCTAGTTTAGTTCTAGTTCATTTCTAGTTCAGTTCTAGTTAAGTTCTAGTTCAGTTCTAGTTCAGTTCTAGTTCAGTTCTAGTTAAGTTCTAGTTCAGTTCTAGTTCAGTTCCAGTTCAGTTCTAGTTCAGTTCTAGTTCAGTTCTAGTTCAGTTCTAGTTCAGTTCTAGTTCAGTTCTAGTTCAGTTCTAGTTCAGTTCTAGTTCAGTTCTAGTTCAGTTCTAGTTCAGTTCTAGTTCAGTTCTAGTTCAGTTCTAGTTCAGTTCTAGTTCAGTTCTAGTTCAGTTCTAGTTCAGTTCTAGTTCAGTTCTAGTTCAGTTCTAGTTCAGTTCTAGTTCAGTTCTAGTTCAGTCTTGTATATAGTCTAGCCTATAGTCTTTTCTATAGTCTATTCTATAGTCTAGTCTGTAGTATATTCTATAGTCTAGTCTATAGTCTAGTCTATATTCTAGTATATAGTCTAGTCTATAGTCTATTATATTTATAGTCAAAATAATATGAATCTGAGTTTGTGATAATGAACCAAAATGAATACATTATTAATTAAATTACATGATGACGAATAATTACATCAACTTATTCATAGACATTTTCTTTTTTATAGTACTGGTATCAATAAAAAGCCGCAAAATTCTCTTTTCATTAGGTTTTCTGAAACATTTGATTTAGCATCCTTTTAGCACGTGCACGGAAATCTAGAAAATCTTGCAAAAATGTTTTTTAAATATTTTCTAATTTGTTGCCTATTTCAACAGTTGTTGGCAGATTGGTTATCTGATGGTAATAAAAAAAATATTTCTTATGATAAAGATTATACAAATTCTATCCTTCTGTTATAGACTGTATACTTGCCGAAAGTCATACAGAGCTCTTAGCACGCAATCGTCTTTATGATGCTAAGGAGGCTTGCGATATCACTGACAACGGTAAAATTTGAACTCATAGAGACTGAACTAAACTGCTATTTATTAATCATATTGTTGCAGGCAAATGTTACGGAGCAACCGGCAATGATCAATCTGAAAGCGAAGCTTGTGTTGCCTATAGTAAGATCATTTTCTTTGGATTTCTTACAAATTAGTGAATTCACTTCATATATGCTCTCTTTTTAGATAACTGTTTGAAAGAGGTATTAGATGTTTATCAATTTTCTATTAAAGATTATGAATATGCAACAAATCTATTTACCGAGTCCATCACAGAAGTTTGTAATGAATGTAATGGATTTTTAAAATATGCAAAAGTTTTCCATAATTTATTTCAATTACATTTAATGTGCGAATATAAGTATTACATTGATAAAGCTAAGTTACAGCACAATATGTAAATAAAAGAGTAATATTTGTTCATGATCGATACATTTAAGAACTACTGCAACTAATGGGACAATTTTATAAATACGTACTGATCAGGATAATATAAAAAATATATAGTTTTTAAAAGAGTCCTCGAAATGGGTATCAAAAATTACGTAATTTTGAGTTTATCGCGGGAGAAATAGATCGATTTTTTGTTAGACTATTGCTGGACCGCAAAACGGTTTTTAAAAAATTATTTAGTCAGTTAGTCAGTTATTTAGTTAGTTAGTTAGTTAGTTAGTTAATTAGTTAGTAGTTAGTTAGTTAGTTAGTTAGTTAGTTAGTTAGTTAGTAGTTAGTTAGTTAGTTAGTTAGTTAGTTAGTTAGTTAGTTAGTTAGTTAGTTAGTTAGTTAGTTAGTTAGTTAGTTAGTTAGTTAGTTAGTTAGTTAGTTAGTTAGTTAGTTAGTTAGGTAGTTAGTTAGGTAGTTAGTTAGTTAGTTAGTTAGTAGTTAGTTAGTTAGTTAGTTAGTTAGTTAGTTAGTTAGTTAGTTAGTTAGTTAGTTAGTTAGTTAGTTAGTTAGTTAGTTAGTTAGTTAGTTAGTTAGTTAGTTAGTTAGTTAGTTAGTTAGTTAGTTAGTTAGTTAGTTAGTTAGTTAGTTAGTTAGTTAGTTAGTTAGTTAGTTAGTTAGTTAGTTAGTTAGTTAGTTAGTTAGTTAGTTAGTTAGTTAGTTAGTTAGTTAGTTAGTTAGTTAGTTAGTTAGTTAGTTAGTTAGTTAGTTAGTTAGTTAGTTAGTTAGTTAGTTAGTTAGTTAGTAGTTAGTTAGTTAGTTAGTTAGTTAGTTAGTTAGTTAGTAGTTAGTTAGTTAGTTAGTTAGTTAGTTAGTTAGTTAGTTAGTTAGTTAGTTAGTTAGTTAGTTAGTTAGTTAGTTAGTTAGTTAGTTAGTTAGTTAGTTAGTTAGTAGTTAGTTAGTTAGTTAGTTAGTTAGTTAGTTAGTTAGTTAGTTAGTTAGTTAGTTAGTTAGTTAGTTAGTTAGTTAGTTAGTTAGTTAGTTAGTTAGTTAGTTAGTTAGTTAGTTAGTTAGTTAGTTAGTTAGTTAGTTAGTTAGTTAGTTAGTTAGTTAGTTAGTTAGTTAGTTAGTTAGTTAGTTAGTTAGTTAGTTAGTTAGTTAGTTAGTTAGTTAGTTAGTTAGGTAGTTAGTTAGGTAGTTAGTTAGTTAGTTAGTTAGTTAGTTAGTTAGTTAGTAGTTAGTTAGTTAGTTAGTTAGTTAGTTAGTTAGTTAGTTAGTTAGTTAGTTAGTTAGTTAGTTAGTTAGTTAGTTAGTTAGTTAGTTAGTTAGTTAGTTAGTTAGTTAGTTAGTTAGTTAGTTAGTTAGTTAGTTAGTTAGTTAGTTAGTTAGTTAGTTAGTTAGTTAGTTAGTAGTTAGTTAGTTAGTTAGTTAGTTAGTTAGTTAGTTAGTTAGTTAGTTAGTTAGTTAGTTAGTTAGTTAGTTAGTTAGTTAGTTAGTTAGTTAGTTAGTTAGTTAGTTAGTAGTTAGTTAGTTAGTTAGTTAGTTAGTTAGTTAGTTAGTTAGTTAGTTAGTTAGTTAGTTAGTTAGTTAGTTAGTTAGTTAGTTAGTTAGTTAGTTAGTTAGTTAGTTAGTTAGTTAGTAACTAATTTTGTTCTACTCGGATCCACCTTTCAGAAAAATAGTACCACTTCCCAGGTATTTATTTTTGTAATTAACCCAACTTTAGAGGAATACTTCTCAAGGCCCCTTAAATTTTTCTCCCGCTAGGTGTACCCGTTCTTCAATTTATCTATTGTGAACAAATTCTATTCCTGTAGATGAATAAATACATTAATTATTGAGTTGCACATGATGAGGAATAATTTTACTTAAAATTATTCAGAAATACATACATATTTATATGTGCTGTTATAGAATTGGTTCAATATAAAGACTCAAAATTCGAAGCATTTTCGAAAGCTTTTTAACTAAGAACCTTTAAGCGAGAGCTCGTTTATCATGAAACGGTCTTTTATAAAAATTTTGTTTAAATATTTTTTAAGTTTCTGCCTATTTCAAAAGGTATTATCACAAGTTCCAGGTAAGTGAAAACAAGAATTTTACCTGGAAGGACAATCGACTTATAAAGTGATTTTGAGTCGATTGGTATTATTTGAGATGGGTGTAGGAACCAGAATAAACTATACCACTATAATGTTGTAGGATACATATATAGAAATGCGACATGATGCAAAATTATAGAAAATTTATTCATTCTTTATAGACTGTCAATTTCCTGAACACCATCCTGAGAACCAAGTAGCCAATAATCTTATCAATGATAAAGAAGCGTGCACTAACACCTATGGTAAAATGTTTTCTTTTACAATATAAAGTAAAATATGATATCATTAATTTATTATCTATTTACAGTCGAATGTATAAATACAGCTGACGAGACCTGTTTTGAAACATATAGTAAGTTTTGTTTTATTTTTTTAAATACATTAACTTTATACATAAATTGTATAATTTCAGATAATTGTTTGCAAGAGGCATTAGAGAATTTCAAAGAAGCTGCCGTAGATTATGATCTTTTAATCAAACTTTTTATGGAGGCACAAAATGAAGCTGATGTAGATTGCAATGCACTTTGTTTATATGATATACTTTTTAAGAAATTATTGGAAAATCATATATTTTGTGGATAAAGATTGTTTAAATATTGCAAATAAAGTTATGACGGTTATAAATTAAAACAATTAAGAAGTCTATATTCGCAATTTGCGGAATCTTATATACCCTTCACCATCATGTGTTTAAAATATATTAATTTTATAAAATTTCAATTATTTCATTTTTCCGACACTATCATTACTTAAGCAAGAGCAATATAAAAGAAACAATAATAACGCTAAACGAAATAAAACCAATATAACAGCAATAAGCAGTGTTGTTGTTGCTTATTTATCAAAGCTTGCAAAAGATAGATAGATAGATAGATAGATAGATAGATAGATTGATAGATAGATAGATAGATAGATAGATAGATAGATAGATAGATAGATAGATAGATAGATAGATAGATAGATAGCTAGATAGATAGATAGATAGATAGATAGATAGATAGATAGATAGATAGATAGATAGATAGATAGATAGATAGATAGATAGATAGATAGATAGATAGATAGATAGATAGATAGATAGATAGATAGATAGATAGATAGATAGATAGATAGATAGATAGATAGATAGATAGATAGATAGATAGATAGATAGAAAGATAGATAGATAGATAGATAGATAGATAGATAGATAGATAGATAGATAGATAGATAGATAGATAGATAGATAGATAGATAGATAGATAGATAGATAGATAGATAGATAGATAGATAGATAGATAGATAGATAGATAGATAGATAGATAGATAGATAGATAGATAGATAGATAGATAGATAGATAGATAGATAGATAGATAGATAGATAGATAGATAGATAGATAGATAGATAGATAGATAGATAGATAGATAGATAGATAGATAGATAGATAGATAGATAGATAGATAGATAGATAGATAGATAGATAGATAGATAGATAGATAGATAGATAGATAGATAGATAGATAGATAGATAGATAGATAGATAGATAGATCAACATCAAGAATCAACGCACTTATCGCTAATCTAAATATTCGGTTCAAGTCTTAAGACAGGGATGTTGAGTACCTATTACGTAACCCAATGCCTGAATGGAAATGGATAGATAGATAGATAGATAGATAGATAGATAGATAGATAGATAGATAGATAGATAGATAGATAGATAGATAGATAGATAGATAGATAGATAGATAGATAGATAGATAGATAGATAGATAGATATATAGATAGATAGATAGATAGATAGATAGATAGATAGATAGATAGATAGATAGATAGATAGATAGATAGATAGATAGATAGATAGATAGATAGATAGATAGATAGATAGATAGATAGATAGATAGATAGATAGATAGATAGATAGATAGATAGATAGATAGATAGATAGATAGATAGATAGATAGATAGATAGATATATAGATAGATAGATAGATAGATAGATAGATAGATAGATAGATAGATAGATAGATAGATAGATAGATAGATAGATAGATAGATAGATAGATAGATAGATAGATAGATAGATAGATAGATAGATAGATAGATAGATAGATAGATAGATAGATAGATAGATAGATAGATAGATAGATAGATAGATAGATAGATAGATAGATAGATAGATAGATAGATAGATAGATAGATAGATAGATAGATATATAGATAGATAGATAGATAGATAGATAGATAGATAGATAGATAGATAGATAGATAGATAGATAGATAGATAGATAGATAGATAGATAGATAGATAGATAGATAGATCAACATCAAGAATCAACGCACTTATCCCTAATCTAAATATTCGGTTCAAGTCTTTAAAACAGGGACGTTGAGTACCTATTACGTAACCCAATGCCTGAATGGAAAGTATACCTACAGGAACTGCCTACATCGACTTAGGATATGCCCAACAAGTAATTTTCTTCTGTCGTAGATTCAACATTGAAAGGAGTCGACAATATAGTCCAGCTTTTTATTGATTCATCGGCATGCTGGGTATATATAGCAAATCATGTGGAGCTTGGTTTTCTAGAACTCAATAGAAAATAGATTATAATAGTGGAGATCAAATAATGAAACCATTGCGGCGAAGAAGCACGCTCAAAGTCTATCGCTGAGTAGATCTTTACCGATATGATAGATAGAAAGATATAGATCTAAACCGATCGATATATTTATTACATTAAGATCCTGTTAACCGTTGCCAATCAAACGGCTTCTGAATGTTCTAATATCTAGCATTTAAAAAGAAAATTTTAAATCTACTTGACACAAAACTTTTTACCTAGAAATGTATGTATTTGTTCAAAGAATGCTAATTATATATAATGCGATCTTCGAATAATATATTAAATGAATTTTAACTGAATAGAAAATATTTAAATAATCACTTAAACGTATTCCTAGACATGTACGTTACTTTGCCGTTACAAATTAGATGACTATAAAAAGGCCCTCAACTCAACGATTTAAGATTCAGAATCCTATGAAGCTTTGCAAAATGTTTCTTAAATACATTTTAATTTGTAACCTATTACATTTTGTGTTGGCAGAAGATACACCTAGTAAGTAGAAAAATTCACTGATGAATAAAATAAATTGATTTTTTCTTTATCTTAAAGTTGTCTGTGCATCAGCGACCACTGCTAGTGATAGTATAGTGATCGAAGGTCTTCAAGCCGCAAAATATGCTTGTGATGTTAAATATGGTAAATATTATTACGTAGATGTAAAAATAAACGTAAATTAATTTCTTTCTTTCTTACAGAGACCTGTTTGGATGAAGCAACTGCTAAATTTGGAAAGCTAATCAAAGAACTTGATCCAAGTTGTGATGTGAAAGGTGAAACGAATGATATTATTGAGAAATATCTTGGTGTAAAAATATCGATTGTTTAAAGGTGATATTGGAGTTAAAAAAATGTGAAAATAAATAAGTGAATAAATAAAGTTAATAAAATAGAAATTATTATAGATTGATATTAATTTTGATACTAAGGGCAATCGATCTCACATTACAGAACGAACCTAAGTGATTGTGTAAAAAATCGTTCAGTTAGAAAAGAAAAACTTAAAATTAACAAAATAATTTAATAAGCAAAACAATTAATTTAGTTTGGAAAAACTTAATTTGTTTAAAAAAATCAATTAGTTTCAAGTATTTTCTTTTTAATTTGCCTTGAAAAATATTTAATTTGATAGTAAAAATCCATATATATTCACATAAACAATATTTATATAATTACTTAAACTTTCCCTAAAAGGTTCTCAACTCAACGATTTCTTATTCTCAGAATCTCTTCTAAACTTTAAAAAATGTTTCTTAAATATATTTTAATTCTTCAACTTTTACACTTTGTTATGACAGAAGATATGTCTAGTAAGTAAAACAAAATCACCCTTTTTGTTAAAAAAGAAATTAATTAATTTTTCTTTATTTTAAAGTTATGGCTGTATCAGAAACCTCTGATAATACCCCTATAAAAATCATGGGTGTTGAAGCTGCAAAATATGCTTGTGATGTTGCATATCGTAAAAATTATTGTTTAAACAGAATAAACGGTTATTAATCGATTAATTTCTTACAGAGAACTGTATGGATGAAGTATCTATAACATTCGGACCCTAGTTAAAGAGCAAGATTTGGGTGAAACGAAACGAGTGTTACCACTTAGAGATTTTTTGGTGTAAGAATACCAATTTCATAAGGGTGATATAAATTAACTTAAGTGAAAGGGATAAATTTTAGATTTCATAGAATAATATCTGGAATTAATAAAGTCATTATCACAATTGATATTTTTCTTCTTATAATAAAACAGTAAGTTTTTTGAGAAAGGTAAAACTTTTAGTCTAACGTAGGCTTTGCAAAAGTTGCTGGATATTCTCCCAATTAAAACATTTATAAGTTATAAGGCGGGAGTTTTCGAATAACCAAAGGAAATGGGAAATGGACTAGTCCAATCACATAGCTGAGTCAAAAGTTATTGAGAACTTTGAAGCACTAATACCAGATTGAATATCAAAGTCAAGTAATACTTTAAAGCAAGTATCCGCATGAATATGTGGCTACACGGATATCACTAAACTGGGGATCAAAATTGGACCGGAGATCTAAATTAAAAACCAATAAACTGAAATAAAATATCGTTTACCAAATCACAACACTGGATTCCAGGCAGAATTACGAGTAATAAAGAGATGTATAAAATGGATTATAAGATAATTAGACACCCAATTATATTCTAGAGCTCAAATGTATGGGTACCAGGCCCCTCGTGAATAATGGGAAAAGAAAGAGCAAATGGCCTAGCTATAAGAGGAAGGGAACTCGAGGAATTAATCTTGACGAATGCAAGAAAATTCGACGTAATCGCAGCTTAATCCTACGATTAGTTAGTTAGTTAGTTAGTTAATTAGTTAGTTAGTTAGTTAGTTAGTTAGTTAGTTAGTTAGTTAGTTAGTTAGTTAGTTAGTTAGTTAGTTAGTTAGTTAGTTAGTTAGTTAGTTAGTTAGTTAGTTAGTTAGTTAGTTAGTTAGTTAGTTAGTTAGTTAGTTAGTTAGTTAGTTAGTAGTTAGTTAGTTAGTTAGTAGTAGTTAGGTAGTTAGTTAGTTAGTTAGTTAGTTAGTAGTTAGTTAGTTAGTTATAGTTAGTTAGTAGTTAGTAGTGTAGTTAGTTAGTTAGTTAGTTAGTTAGTTAGTAGTTAGTTAGGTAGTTAGTTAGTAGTAGTTAGTTAGTTAGTTAGTTAGTTAGTTAGTTAGTTAGTTAGTTAGTTAGTTAGTTAGTTAGTTAGTTAGTTAGTTAGTAGTTAGTTAGTTAGTTAGTTTAGTTAGTTAGTTAGTTAGTTAGTTAGTTAGTTAGTTAGTTAGTTAGTTAGTTAGTTAGTTAGTTAGTTAGTTAGTTGTTATTAGTAGTTAGTTAGTTAGTATTAGTTAGTTAGTTAGTTAGGTTAGTTAGTTAGTAGTTAGTTAGTTAGTTAGTTAGTTAGTTAGTTAGTTAGTTAGTTAGTTAGTTAGTTAGTTAGTTAGTAGTTAGTTAGTTAGTTAGTTAGTTAGTTAGTTAGTTAGTTAGTTAGTAGTTAGTTAGTTAGTTAGTTAGTTAGTTAGTTAGTTAGTTAGTTAGTTAGTTAGTTAGTTAGTTAGTTAGTAGTTAGTTAGTTAGTTAGTTAGTTAGTTAGTTAGTTAGTTAGTTAGTAGTTAGTTAGTTAGTTAGTTAGTTAGTTAGTTAGTTAGTTAGTTAGTTCGTTAGTTAGTTAGTTAGTTAGTTAGTTAGTTAGTTAGTTAGTTAGTTAGTTAGTTAGTTAGTTAGTTAGTTAGTTAGTTAGTTAGTTAGTTAGTTAGTTAGTTAGTTAGTTAGTTAGTTAGTTAGTTAGTTAGTTAGTTAGTTAGTTAGTTAGTTAGTTAGTTAGTTAGTTAGTTAGTTAGTAGTTAGTAGTTAGTTAGTTAGTTAGTTAGTTAGTTAGTTAGTTAGTTAGTTAGTTAGTTAGTTAGTTAGTTAGTTAGTTAGTTAGTTAGTTAGTTAGTTAGTTAGTTAGTTAGTTAGTTAGTTAGTTAGTTAGTTAGTAGTTAGTTAGTTAGTTAGTTAGTTAGTTAGTTAGTTAGTTAGTTAGTTAGTTAGTTAGTTAGTTAGTTAGTTAGTTAGTTAGTTAGTTAGTTAGTTAGTAGTTAGTTAGTTAGTTAGTAGTTAGTTAGTTAGTAGTTAGTTAGTTAGTTAGTTAGTTAGTTAGTTAGTTAGTTAGTTAGTTAGTTAGTTAGTTAGTAGTTAGTTAGTTAGTTAGTTAGTTAGTTAGTTAGTTAGTTAGTTAGTTAGTTAGTTAGTTAGTTAGTTAGTTAGTTAGTTAGTTAGTTAGTTAGTTAGTTAGTTAGTTAGTTAGTTAGTTAGTTAGTTAGTTAGTTAGTTAGTTAGTTAGTTAGTTAGTTAGTTAGTTAGTAGTTAGTTAGTTAGTTAGTTAGTTAGTTAGTTAGTTAGTAGTTAGTTAGTTAGTTAGTTAGTTAGTTAGTTAGTTAGTTAGTTAGTTAGTTAGTTAGTTAGTAGTTAGTTAGTTAGTTAGTTAGTTAGTTAGTTAGTTAGTTAGTAGTTAGTTAGTTAGTTAGTTAGTTAGTTAGTTAGTTAGTTAGTTAGTAGTTAGTTAGTTAGTTAGTAGTAGTTAGTTAGTTAGTAGTTAGTTAGTTAGTTAGTTAGTTAGTTAGTAGTTAGTTAGTTAGTTAGTTAGTTAGTTAGTTAGTAGTTAGTAGTTAGTTAGTTAGTTAGTTAGTTAGTAGTTAGTTAGTTAGTTAGTTAGTAGTTAGTTAGTTAGTTAGTTAGTTAGTTAGTTAGTTAGTTAGTTAGTTAGTTAGTTAGTTAGTTAGTTAGTTAGTTAGTTAGTTAGTAGTTAGTTAGTTAGTTAGTTAGTTAGTAGTTAGTTAGTTAGTTAGTAGTTAGTTAGTTAGTTAGTTAGTTAGTTAGTTAGTTAGTTAGTTAGTTAGTTAGTTAGTTAGTTAGTTAGTTAGTTAGTTAGTTAGTTAGTTAGTTAGTTAGTTAGTTAGTTAGTTAGTTAGTAGTTAGTTAGTAGTTAGTTAGTTAGTAGTTAGTTAGTTAGTTAGTTAGTTAGTTAGTAGTTAGTTAGTTAGTTAGTTAGTTAGTTAGTTAGTTAGTTAGTTAGTTAGTTAGTTAGTTAGTTAGTTAGTTAGTTAGTAGTTAGTTAGTTAGTTAGTTAGTTAGTTAGTTAGTTAGTTACTTAGTTAGTTAGTTAGTTAGTTAGTTAGTTAGTAAGTTAGTTAACAATGTGTTTAATAATGTCTTTGTTTAGTTAGGGTTCAGTTCCATTTTAAAATTTTAATTTTTTATGCCTGTTACACATGATGTCCGTGATTAATTAGTTTACCACAAATTTTCGCTCTTATGGTCCATAAAAGACGCGAATTTCTCCAAATTTTTCAAAACATTCAAATTAAGAACCTCTTATCAAAATCTCGTGTATCGTGAAACTATCTTTTACACAAATGTCTTTCAAATATTTTTTAATGTGTTGCCTACTTCCACTGGTGTTATCTCAATATCAAGGTAAGTAAAATTCACTTTAGCTGGATGGACATTTAACTCAGAAAGTAATTCAGAGTCAATTGGTATTCATTGAGTTGAGTTTAGAAACAAAATAATAGGTCTAATATTGCAAACATCAGCTTAAACCGTTTTCCACTATAGTGCTATGGGATCAATTTCATTAGTACAATATCTATTCTTTCTTTATAGAATGTAAATTTCCCGAAAGCGATCCAGAGCATACAGCTGCCATTGATCTCGTCTATGGTAGAGAGTATTGTGTTGATATGTATGGTAAATTGTGTGTTTTTAGAATAGAAAGAAATGTCATTAATTAATTACTATTTTGCAGTCAAATGTTCAAATGCACACAGCGACACTTGTATGGAATTATATGGTAAATTTCTTTAGATTTTGGATTTGTTAAGAAATCAATTTACTACATAAATGTTTTAATTTCAGATAAATGTCTGAAAAATATGATAGAAGAGTATAAAACTACTATATCAGGTTATGAAGTTTCAAGAAATCGTTTTAATGAAGTTGAGGAAGAGGCTGGTATGAATTCAAATTGTGATTCAATTTGCTTTTATCAGATAATTTATCGGAGATTATCGGATGACCGTGTATTCTGTGAATAAAGGTGGCGTAACTATTAGATTGCAATTAACTAAGTTAGTGCATCCTTATTGAAATCTTTATTCATATCAATTTTCTAAGGACCCCAAATGACTTCAGAAATAAAATCTTCATTAATTAGTTTTGCTTTCGAGAACTTTTTTATTTAAAAAGTCAAATTTTAGGTAAAATTTATATAACTTGCACTGCTATAATTTTGTTTTTAACTGTATTTTATTATTTATAACTTTATTATTTATAAAATATTTGCATAAAAAGAAAATAAATATGAATAAAAGTAATTTATTTAATTTTTTTTTTCAAACTAATTAATTTTTATTACAAAATATATAACAGTAATACTTCCTTTTTGGTCGCTGAACTTTCTAAATGGAATTTCCAACTTCTAAATGTTTCTTTAAACAAACAAACAAACAAAACTTATTACGAAAAAAAAACAAAAAGTAATAAAACAAATCAAAACAGTAAAATATTTTCAAAACAATTTGCAAATTTTAAATAAAAAGAAAACGTAGAAGAAAACGAAAACAAATTTGAAAATCCATATATAAAACCAACCCACTACAAAAAAGTAATTTAAAATCCATTAAAATCATATTAATAAAACTATAAAAAAATTAATTTATTTATTTGTTTGTGATTAAAAAAAATATATAAAATTTTCCAATTTCAAACTTTTGATTTGATTAAACTCAACGAACAAAAACAATAATTAGTGTTTTCGTTTAATTAATTATTTAAACACGACTAGTGATCGGTACTGAAACCAGAACCATTTTAAATTAGATAAAAACAAATCTACAGACCAGATTCTATTTTCCTACACGATACCGCACTTTGAATTAATAATCAGCGGCTGCTGATGATATGAGTAGAAAAAAATGCGTCGAGATGTCGTAAAAATAAGAATTAATAAAATATAAAACACACTTTATTTGAATATTTATTATAATGTTTATTTTTTAAGTTTAATCTAATGAGTAGCTACTAGCATATTTTTTATAATTTATTTATTATAAATTTTCATAAACATTCATTTTTCTAAATGGAGTAGTATTTGTGTGAATAGTATCGAAATTGAATCATAGATTCGAGAATCTCTCGTTATTCTAATGATGTGGAAAGGCACGTCTATCATACTTCTAGATACAGTGGGAGAATAAAGTAATGGTCGGTTGGAAACAAAAACGGTTTCATTTGAAATAACTCCATCAGAACAGAGGTCGTGGGTTCAGCCACTAGTCTCATAACTAACTAACTAACTAACTAACTAACTAACTAACTAACTAACTAACTAACTAACTACTACTAACTAACTAACGAACTAACTAACTAACTAACTAACTAACTACTAACTAACTAACTAACTAACTAACTACTACTAACTAACTAACTAACTAACTAAACTAACTAACTAACTAACTAACTAACTAACTAACTAACTAACTAACTAACTAACTAACTACTAACTAACTAACTAACTAACTAACTACTAACTAACTAACTAACTAACTAACTAACTAACTAACTAACTAACTAACTAACTAACTAACTAACTAACTAACTAACTAACTAACTAACTAACTAACTAACTAACTAACTAACTACTAACTAACTAACTAACTAACTAACTAACTAACTAACTAACTAACTAACTAACTAACTAACTAACTAACTAACTAACTAACTAACTAACTAACTAACTAACTAACTAACTAACTAACTAACTAACTAACTAACTAACTAACTAACTAACTAACTAACTAACTAACTAACTAACTAACTAACTAACTAACTAACTAACTAACTAACTAACTAACTAACTAACTAACTAACTAACTAACTAACTAACTAACTAACTAACTAACTAACTACTAACTAACTAACTAACTAACTAACTAACTAACTAACTAACTAACTAACTAACTAACTAACTAACTAACTAACTAACTAACTAACTAACTAACTAACTAACTAACTAACTAACTAACTAACTAACTAACTAACTAACTAACTAACTAACTAACTAACTAACTAACTAACTAACTAACTAACTAACTAACTACTAACTAACTAACTAACTAACTAACTAACTAACTAACTAACTAACTAACTAACTAACTAACTAACTAACTAACTAACTAACTAACTAACTAACTAACTAACTAACTAACTAACTAACTAACTAACTAACTAACTAACTAACTAACTAACTAACTAACTAACTAACTAACTAACTAACTAACTAACTAACTAACTAACTAACTAACTAACTAACTAACTAACTAACTAACTAACTAACTAACTAACTAAACTAACTAACTAACTACTAACTAACTAACTAACTAACTAACTAACTAACTAACTAACTAACTAACTACTAACTAACTAACTAACTAACTACTAACTAACTAACTAACTAACTAACTAACTAACTAACTAACTAACTAACTAACTAACTAACTAACTAACTACTAACTAACTAACTAACTAACTAACTAACTAACTAACAAACTAACTAAC